TTCCGAATATAATAAAGCTTGATGCAGTAAATTTCCCAATGTTCCCCCGAGAACGGAAGACTAACATGGGACAGATTCCGAGGACAGAATACAAGACGCGGGATTTTTTCTTTATCTTTTTTGATAGAAGAGAAATGAAGAATTTATTGAAAGTAATAGACGGGGTTGAGCGTGTTTAGAAAGGTCTGATAGGTAAGTGAATAATCTTAGATTTATTGATAAGCGAATAAGAATATGAATAAGTAAATGAATAAGTACATAAAAAAAACTAGTAAAAGAGTATATGAATAAGAGGTTGAATGAATGAAACAGAGAAGGAAACGTATAAATAAATTAATAAACAGATAAATAATGACATCAACAAACAGACAAATAAATAATCACGAAAACATATGAATAAATAGGTAAATAGATCAACACGTGGATATGTGAATAAACAGATGAGTAGATAAACGCGTTAAATAATAAATAAACGAATAGTAACCTCTGTAAATGAGAGATAGAAGGCTAATTAAGCAGAACAGAAATACGGGAGACAAACAGTGAAAAGAGAAAGGAAAGAGACAGAGAGTTAAAGGAGAGAAAGCAAGAAAAGGGCAGAAAATCGAAGAAAAATCCCCTCTTGCATCTGTCTAAAAAACAGAAATGGTGAACTGGAATAAAGAAAATACTAATTAATGTCTAGATTATTTCGGAAATCGTGAAAATAACAATTTCTCAAAAACAGAACAGCTCTTGGATTTTTATCTGCCGTTTTAATATCCGCAATATTATTTTGTCCGTCATCTAGACATTTATATTCATACTCCTTTTCCTTGTTTCTTCATTTCCTCTTTCGTTTTTAGATTTACAACATTTCTTCTTCTTTTCACTTCATCTTGAGTCTACCGATATAGGCCTATGTAGCCTAAGAACGCGGGAAAATTTCTACAAAATGAAATGTAAATATCGTGTTATTGGAACACCCGAAGACAGCCGTTCCAAGCGAGCATTCGTTTTTTCTACTTTTTCTCTTTCTTTTTCCGATGTAGAATTGACAGGGGAATCCGATGAAAGAAAAAGAGGAACAATTTTAGGAATTTTTCTGTTCAGTGTACCCTACTAGACAAACACACGCGAATTATATTACGCCAACTGCGGCCCTTTCGCCGGCCTCCGGTTCCGTCTCTATCTGCCTAGATATCTGTCTGTCTGTTTGTCTCTCTCCATTTCTTTCATTCGTATTTTCTCTCTCCCTGTGTGATGTGTGTGTGTGTATGTATGTATATATATATATATATATATATATATATATATATATATATATATATATATATATATATATATATATATATATATGTATATATATATATATATACATATATATATATATATATATGTATATATATATATATATGTGTGTGTGTGTGTGTGTGTGTGTGTATGTGTGTGTGTGTGTGTGTGTGTGTGTGTGTGTGTGTGTGTGTGTGTGTGTGTGTGTGTGTGTGTGTGTGTGTGTGTGTGTGTGTGTATGTGTGTGTGTGTGTGTGTGTGTGTGTGTGTGTGTGTGTGTGTGTGTGTGTGTGTGTGTGTGTGTGTGCATGTACATACATATATATGTGTATATATGTGTTTGTGTGGGTGTGTGTGTGTATGTGTGTGAGAGAGAGAGAGAGTGTGCGTGTGCGTATGCGCGTGTGTGTATTTCCCCTCTTCCTCTATTCTTCCTCTCCTTGCCCCAGCACTTGATCCATCCCCCGCGCCCTCCTTCCTCCCACCTTGTTCCCTTCTGTACCTGGTCCCCTTTTCCATCCTCCCAATCCTTCCGCCCCCCCTCCCTTTCATCCTTTCCCCTTCTGAGATTTCATCTTCCTTTTTAATCCCCCCCCCCCCTTCCTCTTTCAAGTTCCCTCTCCTCTTCGAGCTCTCCCTCTGCCTCCTTTTTATTTTCCCCTTTATCCTTATCCTTATCCTTCCTTCACGCTGCCCATCTCCCCTTCCTCGGCCCCCTCCCTCCCCTTCCTCGGCCCCCTCCCCCCCCCTCCTCGGCCCCCTCCTCCCCCCTTCCCTTCTCTCTTTCTCTTTCCACCTCCCCCTCCTCCATCTTCCTTTCCCTCTCTCCCTTTCCTTCATTCTTTCATCTTCTCTCTCCCCTTCCTTTCCGTCCTCTGACTCCTTCCTCTTCCCTCCTCCCCTTTCTTCCCCTTCTACACCCCCCCCCCCTCATCCTTCCCTAGTGACCCCATCTTAGCGGCACAGGTGTTTCCTCATAGTCATGGGGAAAAGGGGGGGGGGGGGAGGGGTTTGTACTGTCGGCGATCCCATGAGACGGAGGCCGTTTCATGGGGGGAGAGGGGGGGGGGGAGTGCCAAAAATAACAGTTGGTGTTGCTGTTTGTCTCTCTGTCTTTTTTTTTTTGGCCGGGTGGGTGAGTGGTTGTTTGTCTGTGAGTTTATCTGTGGCCCTTTTTGCCATTTGTTTATTCTTTCTCTCTGTTCTTTCTACCTTAGTCTGTTTGTCTGTCTGTCTGTCTCCTCTCTCTCTCTCTCTCTCTCTCTCTCTCTCTCTCTCTCTCTCTCTCTCTCTCTCTCTCTCTCTCTCTCTCCTCTCTCTCTCTCTCTCTCTCTCTCTCTCTCTCTCTCTCTCTCTCGCTCTCTCTCTCTCTCTCTCTGTCTGTCTGTCTTTGTCTCTCCCTCTCAAATGGAGACAAAGGGAAAGTTATACGTACCCTATCCACAGTTCGTGTGTGTATGTGTGTGTGTGTGTGTGTGTGTGTGTGTGTGTGTGTGTGTGTGTGTGTGTGTGTGTGTGTGTGTGTGTGTGTGTGTGTGTGTGTGTGTGTGTGTATGCGTGTGTGTGTGTGTGTGTGTGCGTGTGTGTGTGTGTGTGTGTGTGTGTGCGTGTGTGTGTGTGTGTGTTCATATTACCTCCAAACCTCAAGCAATAAAAAATAGGATATTTCGGCCTGAGCTGAAAAGTTATGATAACTAATGAGTTTCTTCTCAAAAATCTCAATGAAACTCTCAAACTTTTGTAAGCCAATTCAACACTTCGATAAATCATTTGCTTTCGAGAATCTACCTTTAAAAAATTCTTTATACCATCAAAGAGAAGAATCAAGTGTGTCAGAAATTATAAGATTATACGAGTCCAACCGCAGGTTTTTTATCATTTTACATAAATATTTTTCCTTGGCTATATCTGATTCATCTAATATAGACGTATATGCTAATCCCTTGTTACTGCATTTTATTTAAATTTGTCGTAATTTGAATGCATATAAATCTCCATATATTCTAATTTTATCTCACATCATAATTTCATTCGCCATACCTGAATGCCCTTTGTATCAGTGTATCTAAAAATCAGTTCCCAACATCATCGTTACATTTCTTAGTATCAATGTCTCCTCACAGCATGGATTCCTGTGCCAAGCCTAAATATTTTCTATCAGCGGATCAAGATAATAAGAACTTAACTTCATTCTCTGTGTATTATTCTATAAAGGAGCCAGATTCTTACATCACATCCACATACATTTTTTATCAATGTATTGATAAAATAGCAACCTACATTATTTCTAGACATTGCTATTAATTTGTCAAGAAAAATATCATACTGATATTTTTATACAGATATATCATCACATGAAACCCAAAATCATACCATTGATATCACTATATCAATAGATATCTATAAACTATCTTACGTTATCACTGCATCAACAAAAATACTCATACTTCATACATCATTACATCTTCATTAATTTATTAACAGAAAGACCTCTATAACACGTCTAAGTTGATAAACACTCAAAGAATTATCAACGTATCAACAAAGCTTAACACCACATTAGAACACCTCTGTATCAGTGTATCATGAAATCTCCATTCAAAGGTAGCTATCAGGAAAGTTCCGCTCAAAGGTAGATCAAGGCCTACAAAGTCTTGTTTCTACATATCCTAACATCCCTGGTGAATGGAGTCATCTGTCGCCTTGTCTCTCTGAATGTTGATGAATAATCTATCTCTGTTGTAGGTGAGGGAGAGGGGGAGAGTTGAAAGAGGGTGTTCAAATAGAAGGAAAGAAAGGGAATGGTTGTGTTTGTTTGGGTTCGTTTTTTGTCTTCTTTTCATGTTCCTGTTTATGTGTTTGTTTGTTTGTTTTTATAGAGGGACATGTGTAAGGGAGGTCGCTTCCCCATGAATCAAGAGGGATATAAAGTCACATAAATCGGAATAAGGTAAATGTCTGCAGTCAGCAGTCAGGACCCATGAACTATAGCTTCTTTCTCATTGGTTTTACTGTGTTTGTAGACTATTGCTCTCTCTTTCTCTCTCTCTCTCTCTCTCTCTCTCTCTCTCTCTCTCTCTCTCTCTCTCTCTCTCTCTCTCTCTCTCTCTCACACACACACACACACACACACACACACACACACACACACACACACACACACACACACACACACACACACACACGCACACACATACACACACACATACACACACACATACACACACACACATACACACACACTCACATTACTCGCTTTCACTTTCTCTCTCTCATTCAATTTCTTATTTCTCTCTCATTCTTCTTCTTTGTCGCATTTTGTTACGTCTTTTTCTTTGCTTTGCAACCAATACTCTATTCTTTGTTCTCACAATTTCTTCGTGTCTTCTCTTCGCTTAGCTAAAATGCAGCGCCACCATGCACGAAATTATAAAAGAATCCAATCCATCTCATCTATTTTGCCGCGAAGGAGTCGTTGATCCAAAGTATAGATTTCAATTCCGCTAAGCATCCCCTGAGTGATCAGACGAATTGAATCGAATCCATTAAGAAAACATGTGAATAAAGATTTGATACTGTACTAGTATTCATGGATTCCGCTTAGAATTCTACCACGCCGATGACTAAGAAATACTTGTAAATTCTGATCACTTTATTAAATAGGTAAGTATTAATAGCATCAGTCTGGTAAGGAGATTATCGCCATCCCTCCACGCTTACCCTCACCC